ATTCTCAGGCTCTAGGAACTTTAGTTCAAGAGAACTCTAGAGAAGTGTGGGCCCACTTGTGTGCAGCAGTCAACAATAAAGTATTTTTTTTTTAAAAAAGGGGAATGTTAAAAACAAAAGGAGATCAATATTGTTGTCATGTGTGTCATAATTTATCCCAAATGCATTGTTATTTCCGCTAAAAGTAACTGATAGCGGGAATTTTCTCAATCTTTCCCCTAAATTCACAAAATTTTTATTCTCAATAAAAAAAATTATTTTTTCCAAAAAAAATAAAAATCAACAAAATAATTTAGTTTCCCATTGAATTTTTTTGGTTGTGAGCATTATTTTGTTTAGTGTTTATAATTTCCCCCCTTACTAAAATATTACTCCCTCCGATTTTTTTTTAAATGCAACACTTTGATTTTTGCACTATTTACATATCATGGTTGACTTAATTTTTTTCACCCCTATAAAATAAATAAATGTTATTATATAATATATCATTAGATTCGTCATAATGCCTAGTTTAACAATATAATTTTGTTATAAATTTTACTAATTAACAATTTTAGATGAAAATGGTCAAAGTTGCATCTCAACAAATGTGCAGGTCAAACTGATGCAAAAATAAATAAAAAAAAACAACGGGAGTACTTGAAACCGTTACTGGCATGTGACTAGTTTTGAACCCGATATTAGCATATTCAGGTTACACAATGGTATCTCAACAAGCGTAGCTCCTTTCCAATGATATACCAACATCATTATACCCTAGTAACAAAAACAAGATGTCTAGACAGTTGGTATGGAGGAGATACTCCCTTAGTTTTTAAATATTTACTCTATTTTTTCATGCACAGAGTTTTAGGAAAAATTAGAGAAAGTAATAATATATGAAGGTAATGGGGTGGGTGGAAGAATAAAAAAATTGTACAAAAAGAAAAATTAGTTGAGAGAATTGGAGGAGAGATAATATGAAAGTAATAAAATATGATTTATGTTAGGTCCACTAGTTAAGATAAATGACTTAAATATTGTAAAAGTTTTCCAAATATGGAAAAGGAGCAAGTAATTAAAAACAGGCAAAAATGAAAAGTGCAGCAAGTACTTAAAAACGGAGGGAGTACCAATTATATGTATTTACATACCAATGGAGGATAATGTGATATTTTCAAAGTGTCAATTGTTTTACCAACTATATGTATTTAATTAATTGACGACAATACCTCGGTTCTTGCACCGACAGGCGACAAAAACAAGGAAGGAATTGATGAGGTTGTCTGAAACAATAAATACTCTTGTCTTCAATAATAATAATAAGGTCTTGTTGGTATAATTACATCTCAATAATCTCATATTGGTATAGTAATTACACTAACATGAGATTAAAAAAAAAAAATTCAACAAGATTGTTGGTATTTTTAGACTTTATGTTGGTACAAAATCTATACCAACATGAGGTATAAATATACCAATAAACACTTGTTAGTGTCATTTCTAACAAGAGTAATTATTGATGTGGACTTCCTTGGAATTGAGACCCAAATTACGAATGCAGACCTATAACTCTAGTATTTCGCCTTTGACTATCACTCATGAAGGATTTATGGTTGGATTCTCGCTTTCTCTCTCTTCTCTTGCTATTTATTCAAATGGATTCACAAGCTTCATATTGCAAACCTTCCACTACCAAGATCCAAATTGCAATCTATGGTCCAATTCTTTTCTCTTTTTCTTTATATAAATGGGCAATTACATGAATGTCATTCCCTGGAGTCCTCTTGGACCAAAGTTCCTAGAGTCTTAGAAATCCTCATTGTGACTCTTCATTGTCTTTGGAGAGTTACTACAATCTCATGTATGTATAATAGGGAGAGGTGTCAATTCAAATGATCGAATTAAGTTTGGTGAAATCGGGTTAATTTTTAAAGTTGAGTCATAGTAAATAATTGTGGCCACACAAGTCAAAATCTGAAACAAATATTTTTCAAGTCGATTTCGAATCGGGTGTAGTTTTAACACCGCAAATAATAGGCATGGTCTAATGAACAAAAAATAATGAAGATTACTTTCTACATCTTTTTATTCTTTTTTCATCTATTTTATAACATTATACAAATTTTCTTCTATAATGAACTTTTTTTTTTTTACTTTGATTGCATATCATTAAATTCTCTTCAAATTTATGATTAATTTTTGGCAATTTTAATTCACAAATCCTTTTCATATACCTTATAAAATTACATTCTACACATCATTTTTTTTGTTCAACTTTCCTTTTGTTGATTAATACTCCCTAGTTAAATCAAAAAAAGTTAATACTCCCTAGTCCGTACAATGTATAAAGATTAAAGAACAACTTTAATTGTCTAAAGTTATTTATAAGAGATACCCAGTTAATTCCCCATATAAATAAAATTTGTTTATCTAGGGGTATAATTGTCTTTTCAAGTACCAATGGAGGGGTATATGCATCTTTTCATGTACTAGTTGAGGACTACATGTGTAATTTCCTCACCAAACAGTAAAAGCAAGTTGCAAACAATAACTGGACAAGTCACCAAAAATAAATGACCTTTCTATTTCAATATATTTACAAAAATGCCATCAGATTAACAAAAATTCGTTTATTTGGCAGATTAGCTTGTACCGTTCTTTAAACAAAACTAGCCTTTTGGCCCGTGCAATGCACAGGTTCATTCGTTATTCATAGAAAATTGCATTGAACGATGAATGAGAAAATATCAATAAATCATTATAGTAATAAATTTATAATGTGTAATCGGAAACATGATTAAAGTAATTTAATTTTTGGAACTTTGATTGAAAATGAGGATTAAATAAAGAAGGTGGAGGGACTAAAATTAAAGAGAGAAAAGGAAAAGGTTGAATTGAAGAGGGGAGATGAAGATGAAGTGTGCATGGAAGATGAAGTTTAAGTTTAATGAAAGAATTTAAGAAAAATAGTGTAATAAAAATTAATAATGTAAGAAGACATGTGGCACTTGGATTAGAGAAGAAGATAGAGAAGTGTAATAGGATAGAGACATGTGTTTTCCTTGGTTAGAGTTTTTAAATACTACCTCCGGTCCACTTTACTCGCAACTATTTCCTTTTTGGGGTGGTCCAAATTACTTGCAACTTTCCCATTTCTTTCCTTTTTTAGTAAATTTTTTTATGTAAAATTACCATTGTACCCTTATTTTTTTAATAATTCAACTTAGTTATATTACTAACCTTATCTGATTAATAAACAAAAATGATTAATTAAATTAATCATTCCCACCAAAATTATACCCCAACCCTTTAAATTCAGCAACTCCCCAACTGTCTGAATTGAATGCTCCTCATACAATTCATCTGATGAATTGGTTGGAGTTCATTTATTCTGGAGAATTCTCCGGAATAAATCCCTCCCACCTAAACCCTACTTGTTACTTTCTCTCTCATCACTCGCCGAATCAAATCCTGTCTCTCTCTCTCTCTGTCTTCCTTGGTTTGTTTTCTCTCAATTCCTCTGTCAATGGCTTCCCCTAGTGACAAAAACCTAGATCTAACTTGCCATGAAACCCTTGAAACAAGTGCTTCCAGTCGCCGATCTGGTAGTGTTACCTACAAACCCCGCCGTGGAACGGGTGTGATGAAACCCATTCGCCGTACTTCTGTGATTGCGAGGAGGCGGATTCGTGGTGCGAAACTCGCTGACTATGACAGCGATGAGGAGCCGCCGAAGCTGGTAATCTCTGAGGCTGGTGCCCGTGATGAACCACCGTCTGAGGTGGTTCCTGCTAGTGAGGTTCCGTGGTTGCTGTGGTTGTTTCTGCTTGGGGTTCTGGGTCTCCAGTGACTGAGGTTGAGGTTTCAGCCACTGGATCTGCTACAGGGGAGTCTACCCCAGTAGATCTGGAGGTTTCTGAGGTGGTTAAGCCACTGTAGTCCCATGAGCGTGACGATGGCCCTTCCTCTAGCGCAAAACGCATCAAATCTGGTCCTCCAGATGGCATGACGAGGGAGGAAGTGATTGAGGCTTACCTGCAGATCTACTACCCTCAGTTCAACCCCCCTCGTAATTGAATGTGCAGCGTATAATCTATAAACCCTAATTTATTTATGATTCTCTCTGTTTATGCTTGTGATGTGCAATTAGTTGTTTACAAGATGCTGTTGTGGGTTGTTGTTGATGATTGTGTGAGTTGTTAATTATGGGTAATGACTGTGATTTGACTTACATGATTAGTTGATGCATGATGTACTGTTGGAGTAACTATGTAGTAATTGTTGTTTGCATCTCTGTTTTGGGATGATGGTTGTTGATAGATGTTTGTATCTGTTTATTAAAATACTGGTGTTTTGGGACAAGTTTGTTGTTTGAATGAATTTGATTTATGTTATGGGATGGTGTTGTTTGGTAGCACTTGATTTGATGGTGTTTGCATTAGTTGGAGTAGTTCATTTGCCAATATGTGTTTGTTGTATTGGTGAAATTCACAGTTGTTTGGTTGATTTTGGTTGTTGAGAATGAGTCCCCTGCTGCTTTTGTCAACCATCACCTACTTGCCATGGAAAATTTCATTTGTGACCCTTGTCTTCTGCCTTTAATGCATTGAGTCCCTTTTTTTATCATGCACACCCCTTTTGGTTTTCCATATGATGATGGGACTCATCTGATAGCTACTTGGGTGGTTTGGATGCTCCATAAACCTTGTCAAAAAGGTTTATGTTGAGGTACCAACACTCACTAAAGCTTTGACTGAAATCACAACCCTTCTGATGGAAATAATAGGCTCTAAAAATGAAACACAAACAAAATAAAACATGTAAATGTTTGTTAAATCAAAATATTTGAACTTGACTGATTACATGACTGCCAAAAAAATAAGCAAGTTGTATCTACCAAAAGTACATATAACCTACACATAATCTAACACAAAAAGTTGTTTGAATAGGAAAAGGTTATATGTGGCAGTCAATTATGAGTCCCCTAATACTTGCCTTCCAAAACTAAGGCATAGTTATCAGTCTGCATCTACTTCCATGTTCCCTTCATCATCTCCTGTAATTGTGACTGTGTCCAAAAAATGGACAACTTGACCTATTAGATCCCTGTCTACTTCAAGTAGTTGTGGTAATAGTCCTTGGCTGTCCAAGCTTCTCTTCTTCGTGTGTGGGGGAGAGAAGTTATTACCCCCTTGCTTTTCCAGAATCTTAATAAGGCATGATTGAAGTGTGATCCATGTGTACTTATTTAGTATAGGATCAAATTCTTGAAATGCTCTAGCCACTTCCTTGATTAAGTCATCTAGATTCCTTGGAAAAGATTGATATTGTAATGATTGAATGACACTAAACAACCCTAAATCTAAAACATTTGTTTCTGGTGACTGAGATGGTTGGAATATGAATTGAATGTTGAATCCATGTGCATGACAAGCTGCTTGAAATTCTTCATCCTTTGGTACCTGATGAGGCCTAGCATTATCCCATTGGATGATTATGTCCTTTGGTAACTGCTGTGGCCATTTTTCATAGATTGTTGGGATAACATGTGTTAGCAGCATCTCCCTTATGCATTCTTTTGTGACACTTTGAATTGCCTTTGTCTCTAGAGTCCCTGCATCTCTGTTCTTGCTTTTCTTTTTGGCTCTTTCATACTTTACAAAAGGAAAAAGGCCTATTTTCCATCATGTATTATGTTGTTTTCAGCATCAAACAATGGTTTACCTATCATTCCCATAAACATTGCTTTGATCTTGAACCTCCTTGATTGTTGAGCCTTGTATGGATCATCTTCTGTTGGAAGTAGGTAAAGGTTCTTGTTTCTGGATTGATGTAGAACCATTTCTCATCTAAATGTATCCATTGCTGCATATCACTAAATGTTGGGTCCCCAATTGCTGGAACATGATTTATTAAACTTAAAACCCATTTAAGTCTTGCCACTTTGTGCTTCTCTGTCAATGCTCGGTGATTTGTGCTTGTGTGTGTTCTCAGCCTGCCTTGCTGCCTTAGCCTATGCAATGCTGTTTTGGGTATTTTCAGTGCACCAGCATATCCCCTTTCAGTTGTTCTTTTGTACAATGGTACAGATGTCATAAACTCATCTGTGTATTGTTTTGCTTTGCGTCCTGTCCTGCCTAATTTTTTTGTATTAACATCAACAACAATACCTTGAGCTAGAGAATGTTTTATTACCTGAAACCATCTTGTTGTTGTAGATTTGTGCACTGAATATTTTCTTGCCAAATTGGCTAAAAAGCCTCTTGGCAGTGAGTCCCCCTCCATGTGCAACATAATCTCCTCAACAATTGCTCTTTTCTGTTCTACTGTCATCTCTCTTGTTGGTCTGCAATTTTGTTGTAGCTCTTCTTGGTTTGCATCATCATCTGCATCATACCCATCAGCATCATTACCTTCATGATATTGCTCTTGTTCATGGTCTGAATCAGATGACCCTTGATACTCTTCTTGGTTGATTTGTTGTTCGATGAATTCATCTTCCATGAGATGGTCCTGTTGAATTAACTCATCCATAAGTTCGTGTATGAACTCTCCCATGAGTCCCTTCTCTTTTGAAAAAATTTCAGGAATGCTTTTTGGTGATGAAGTGGCGGCTGGTAGTTTTTGGACGATAGTCAACGGAGCCTATTATTGAAGCTGCATCTACTAACACAGCTCTAGAATTTAGGATTAAACTAATCAAATTTTAGATGGTTTGTAATTTGTTAGGGCTGCCTGTATTTTGTACTTACTAAACTAATTTCTGTGGTGATGTTACTTGAATTATTCCTCCCCCCTCCCCCCTCCCCAATTCTTCTAAAACTTGGCTTTTGAAAATGGAGAATTGGAAGGGAAGCCCTCGTTTTATATAGGGCCTTTTGTTTGAAATTTATGGAAAAATTTGAAATTTGGGGGAATTTAGTTAAAGATTTGAAATTTGGGGAAATTTTGGGAAGGAAAGAAGCTTCCCAAAAATTTGACCCCTAATTCCTTAAGCTGCCAAAGAAAAAGGGTGGGAATTTCCCACTCTTTTCACTAAAGTACAACCCCTAAAAAAAGTCAACAATATAGGACCACAAGTATTCCCTCCAATTTTAACTCCTAATTACGTACCCTTACTTTTTCTAATTCCCCCCTTAAAAGTTTTGCCTCGTCCTCCACAAACCCCTTCAAAATTGCGGGTAAAGTGAACCGGAGTTAGTACTAAGTATAGATTTGTCCAAAATATATTTATTTTCTACATATTTCTCGTATCTAATAAAATGAAACATGAAAAAAAAATAAGAAAAGGTTAATTAGTCAAATGAATTTTGTCATACAACCAAAACCCATGAAAAACAAATCTTCCAACCATACACTTGGTAATCAGAAATTTTCAAAGGGGAGTACTAAATACAGGAACAATTTTACCTAAATGCAGAATAAGTTAATTTTTAAAAAATGATTATATTCCAATTTTGCCCTTGTTTTTATTTAATTTTTTACACTCTTAACAATATAATCATCCCTACCGTTATTTTACCTTTTATCCTATGTAATATTCAATACTATACAAATTGATGGACAATTATGAAGTGCACTATGACGATTTGTTTGAGGTATTAAAAATTATGTTTTTTTTTCCGTAAAATCTAATTTATAGATGAACAATCAAACAAAATAAAATTTCCATATTATACAATTCTATTCTAGGACATGTCTGGGTGTCGGGATGTGTTTTCGGGGATCAACGATACCCCCGGATCAGAATTTCGGGGGTCAATGGTACCCCCCGGATAAGATTTTCGGGGGTCAACAGTACCCCCCGGATAAAATTTCCGGGGGTCAACAGTACCCCCCGGATAAAATTTCCGGGGGTCAACAATACCCCCCGGATCAAATTTCCAGGGGTCAACAACACCCCCCGGATAAGATCTCTGGGGGTCAATATTAATCCCGAAAAAAAAAGAACGAAATATTATACAATAAGAACAAAATTACACATATAAATTACCTTAGATGGGAGAAAAATGAATGTGAAATTTGTGGGATTAGCAAAAATTTTTGGGATTAGCAAAATGTCGTGGGATTATGATATGTCTATTTTATATAGTAGTTTACCCTCGTCCCTCGGTCATAATTAGTAGTGTTTTTAGCCCTTTGGGGCCACTTTTATTACTAATATGTGTTTTCTAGTGTTTTCGTAGTTTTGGTTAAGTTTTGCAGGGAATTGCACCTTTGGAGTATTTTCCCGGGATTTTTATGAAGCGACTACGAGCATCGGAGGAGCACGACCATTTTCGGAGCCCGAGGCAATTGGATCATGTATTCGAGACCCGAGAAGAAATATGGATTGGGCCGAGAAATCTAGCCCAAATCGAAGTCCAAACCTCCAAGATGAAGTCGGGCCCGATCGGGCAAGCTTACGCCCGATCGGGCGAGCTGTCGCATGCCAGCTGCCAAGGAGATGCGCGCCCAATCGGGTGAGCGTAGTCTCGATCGGGCGCAGCACTGAAAGATAGGCGTAGAAAAAAAGGCGAGCCCGATCGGGCGCCCCCTTCGCCCGATCGGGCGCGTGTTTTGTTAGAACCTGATTAAGCTTTGTTTATTTCGTGTTTTAGGGGAGATATTTATATTTGTTTTGTACGGATAATTAATCACTTCTTTCTCTTAGACTTTCTCTCTCTACTTAGTATTTCTCTCTCTCTAGAATTCTCTCTAAACTATTGTACTTAATTCCTTCATTAATTCCAGATTTGTTTTGGTACAATTTCTTCCCTTTCTAATTTTAGCTATTTTAATTGTTTTCTTGTTTATGTTTTCAATTGTTTATTTAATTGGATTAGTTATGATGATTAGTGAGTAATTTAATTCTAGGGTTTAAGGGGATCCATAACTAATATGAAGGGATAGTTTGTTATTATTGATTGTTGATATTGCATGATAATTTCCTATTGAATTGTTTTAATTATTTGCAATTAGATTATGAATCGAGCAGATGTAATTTGGTTGTGAATGTTTAGCAATATTGAATTGATGAATCGAGCAGATGTTGATTTAATATTAAAGGCTATTTTTAATAGGAAATTAGGTCTAATAAATTGCGAGAGCCTGTTAGATCCATGTTGGTTAATAAATTGCGAGAGCCTGTTAATCATGTTATTGATGCATTGTTAATTATTAATTGCTTCGTTCTATCTCGGAATATTAATTATTGGTGAACCTGCGACCCTAGGTTTCCTTATTATTGATTCTTCTATCCCTAAACTCATCCTTCGTAGTATAGAATTCATATTTAAAATATTAGTTACTTAGATAATTTAGATTATAACAATTAATTAGAATTAAACATACTTGTTTCCCTGTGGAGTTCGACCCTACTTCCCTATCTACTATAGTTAGTGATTTAGGTAATTATTTTTGATTAGGGGATACGACTTTACCCTGTCAAAATTTGGCGCCGTTGCCGGGGAAACGGTTTTATTTTTATTTTCTGATTATATTTTTGTAGTCTAGATTATCCCCCCTTTTTTTTTTTGCCTCAGAGAACATTAGTTCTTGAGGCAAATCTCATATTTGTCTTTAGTTCTTTGTTTATGCCCAGGTGTTCTAGATGAGGTGACATCCCTTTTGATCCTGAGATCGAGCGTTCTTTTCATAGGCAAAGGAGACTCTACAGACAAATTCTGGTGGGTTCTGAGGAGGACAACGATCGAAGAGATCCTCCCACTGATTTTAGTGATACAGATATTCCTTCAGATTCAGAATCAGAGATGTCGGCCCAGAAGAAACTCAGTGATTATTCGCAACCGAAGCTCACAGATTTCCCGCACCTTACTCCTACTCCAGCTCTAGATGGAGTTCAATTTGAGATCAAGCCCCAATTTATCACTATGATAGAGAGGAAGCAGTTCAGCGGAGCTAAGGGTGAAGATCCTAATCTTCACATCGCAGATTTCTACCAATAAGGACCAAATCAGGGAGATTCTTTTTCCCTTTTCTTTATGTGGCAATGCAAAATTATGGTTTAATGGTTTGAATAGAACTGCACTTGGTATTACTGACTGGGAAACTCTTGCTTTGAACTTTTATAATAAATATTATCATGCAGAGAGAACAGCGGTGCTAAGAAGTGTTATTCATAACTTCGCTCAAGAGGCCGACGAAACACTATATGAGGCTTGGGAGAGGTTCAAGGATCTATAGAGAGAGTGCCCCCACCACAATCTAGCACAATGGCAATTGATCCAAGCATTCTATAATGGACTTGGAAATTCTTCCAGATCAGTACTAGATTCGGCAGCTAGTGGGAGGTTTATGAATTTGAATGTGGATGATGCAGGACAGGTTATCGAAGACATGGCAATACACAATTCCCAATATGGGAATCCGAGGGGGTTTGCAAATAAGGGGAAACATAATGTCGATTCTGTATCCTTTTTGCAAGCTCAATTAACTTCTATTTGTCAAAAATTAGATAATCTTACTACTACTCCTAACTCTGTAGCTAATGTTTCTGCTGTTGCTAACCATGAAGATTTTTGTGAAAATTGTGGAATTGTAGGTCATTGGGAGCAAGATTGTAGGAGCTCTATGGAACAAGTTAATGCCTTTCAAACCTTTAGGCAAAATAACCCCTATTCCAATTCCTACAATGCTGGTTATAAAAATCATCCTTACCTTTCATACCGGAGTACCAATGTACAAAACCCTCCATCTCCACAACAACCACAACAGCAACCCCCACCACAGCAAAAATATTATCATCCTAATGCCGGCCAGAAAAGCCAAGTATCACCCTCATCATCTTCCGACCCTGCCATGACAGAAATTAGAGCGATGCTAGCTAATATGCAAAAGCACATGGAGAGTAGGGATGCGCAAATTGATTCTATCCTAGCCCACAATAAAATCATGGACAATCAAATTGCACAACTTTCATCTACCCTACAATCCCGTCAGCAAGGAGCTCTACCGTCACAGCCTATCCATCCTACAGATCATGCTAATGCAATCACTCTAAGGAGTGGTTCCCATTATGATGGACCTCCTATGCCACAGGAAGATAGACCAGTTTCTAATCTAGATTCCTCTATATCAAACGGTAATTCTGCTAGCCCTGCAGGGCTACAAAAAGATACTAACCCTACTAATGTTTCTGTGCAGGGTAAATTGCAGGATAAGGGAGGAGTTGTGCAGAGCCTAGTTATCAAGCTTCCATTCCCTAATCGACAACTGAAGAGTAAGCTTGATAAACAATTCGGTAAGTTTTTAGAGGTTGTGAAAAACCTGGAGGTAACAGTCCCCTTCACTGATTTAATCACTCAAGTACCTGCTTATGCTAAATTCATGAAAGACATTCTGACTAGGAAAAGGGCCTTTAATGAAGTAGAAATTGTAGCTTTCACAGAGGAGTGTAGCGCTTATTTGCAAAATAAATCACCTCCTAAATTAAAGGATCCCGGTAGTTTTTCTATCCCCTATCACATTGGAAATGTTTTTATTGATAAAGCTTTATGTGATCTGGGTGCTAGTGTCAGTGTCATGCCATCATC